TTCGAGCGTTCGTGTTTTTTTAAACAATAAAAGCGATTTCGTGCGTAATAACAATTAGTATAGTGCGCGCAGCCACCGCTGATGCATTGCGTTTCGTGTCAAAATTAAGAATTGCAACAACTGTTTCGTCGTGACGTAATTGTAATCGGATGGTAATTAAATAATTTCCAAATTGTTATATTATTTAAATGAGAAAGTAATAACAATAAATTTAATCAAACGTACGATTTTTTTAAATTTTCATCAAAATTTAATAATTTGAACCTTTTGGTCACATGATTAATACATATTATTATTATTATTATTAATAATTGGATATATTAATTTAATTCTAATAAACATTTTAATCAAATTAATAAATAGGTTTTTTTTTTAAATTTAATTAAATTTTAATATTTCTTTCTCAAGTTCGAAAAAAAATTAATATAAAATAATATATATTTTTTTTCAAATCCCAATTATTGTATACCATTTTATCAATAATTTCCACTATTACCTTACAACTTGTATTGCTTATATGTATGTTTTCACTAATTGAGAACAATATACGCAAAATAACTGTTAGAAGTAATTGCAAAAAAAAGTGTTATTTGTTATGTCAAGTAATTTTGAAAATAATAATTATTTAATCTTAGAAAATCTGTAAATATTGACAAGAAAAAGATTTTCCTTTCATTATTTGAAATCAATATAAATTGAAACTAAACTAACAAAATAAGCCGTTTTCTTTGAATAATCAATTATAAAAAGAGTTAAAAAATATTGGATTGGTTAAGAAAGTAACACTTTTATTGGCATTCATTTTTGTTTTGTAATTTTAAAAACTGCATAAAAAAACGTCGAGAATATATAAACAAAATTGAATTTAAATTAATATACGTTTTGGATTGATTCATAGAAGTAAACTCGGTTTCGGTTTTGTGTCTGTTCATTAAAAATTTAATAATTTTTATTTCGTTCAAACAAACTTTTATGAAATCAAGTAAAAATTAAATTATTTCATTATTGATTTAAAATATAATCGGCTCAAATTGTATAAAAACAAATTGTAGTTTATTCAATGCAAACATCCATTAAATCCCATCTACCTAATAATATTATATTTCAATTAAATAATAGTAATTAATCAATATTAATAAAGTAATTTAATCATATAATTTACTAAGTTTAGATATCTACTTGAAAATATACTTTGGAGATTCTCGATTAGATGTTTATTTTGGATAGATCATTGCTAGTTACATTGCAGTGTAATAGATAGGATAAAAAGGATCTTACGGTATAATAAGTCCGAGGCCCGAGAGCCAACACAGGGAACCTTAGATGTTATTAAAACACACGAAGAGTAGAAGAAGAGTGGAAGAAGAGTGGAAGAAGAGTGGAAGAAGGTGGAAGAAGAGTGGAAGAAGAGTGGAAGAAGGTGGAAGAAGAGTGGAAGAAGAGTAGAAGAAGAGTAGAAGAAGGGTAGAAGAAGGGTAGAAGAAGGGTAGAAGAAGAGTAGAAGAAGAGTAGAAGAAGGGTAGAAGAAGGGTAGAAGAAGAGTAGAAGAAGGGTAGAAGAAGGGTAGAAGAGGAGTGAGCACCACAATACCATTAATTTAGTTGTTTTTCATACTTGAATTATATAACAGCAAAAAAAGGTATTTGATAAACTGTAATTGTATAGAAAACTATAAGAAAATATGCACATGAAGAACAAAAAATGATGATGATGATGATGAAATAACAGACGCAAAACAAGATTATTCTATTTCGTTCGTCAATTGAGTAGTTTCGCGGATCGTTGATACATAACAAAAACAATAAATAAATAAAAAAAAATACGTTCAGTACGCGTATTGCAGACTTTTGATAAAGCGAATATTCCAAAGCAAACAGAGCGGAAATGGACCAAAACATGTGTGTGTGTATTTGTATTTTGTTCGCCGGTCTCGTATTTACTTTGTGCACTTGCGTGAGAAGTGCATTCAAATCCTTGCAGTAAACTCCGATCGAAATATTTCATATTTTCAGGAATTGAAACCTTTGATGGATTGATGTACTCCTAACAAAGATACTAATAACAACAATGAAAGAGTGTGTATGAAAGCGAATCACGACTGGAGTATCGATTTAAATTACGCAGAGGGTTGATGATGATGATGATGATGGTTGGTAGTTCTGTAGGTTTGGGACTCTCTGATTAAAGACTTGCTTTCAGTTTGGTTGGAGCGCCGCAAACCGGAGAGGCTTTTGACCATACGCCCTGCCCTGTCTGCATTTAGCTAATTGCTGCCACCCCACTTCACCCTTACGTGCATTCGTTTGGAGGACCGAGTCCAGTTTACAACCCCCCATCCCCAAATTTGACGTCTGCACCTAACTAAAACATGCATCCAATTCGACCTGCATAAACAAACTTTGATCTTTCAATGGCGCATTACGTGCATTCGTTTAAACCCAGCCGCCTCCGTTCGAATTAGTGAGACGCAGTAACGCTACTAATACTTCATGCATTTATCGCCGTTACGTAAATAATAATCTCGCATTCAGAGCGCTAAGTACACGGCTTATTATAAGCGCGCCCGCGTCCTCCGCGTCCTCCTCCACCAACTTCCATCCCTTCCCTCTAATACCTCTTACACATTACAACTTCAATTTGGCGCAGCAACATCATTTCCAACGCTAATATCGCCTTTCCGACTCAGAATCTCCCATTTCCCTAATCATCCCAACAATAATAATCCTCAAACTCCGTGAATCTATAACACACATATATCTCTATTTCCATTGAATCGAATAAAGTTCCATACACCTAATTCCACCAACTGAATAACACTTTAACAAAAAAAAAATAATCCCATTACTAAAATAAAGCCTCAACATCCGTAATACAAATATACTTAATTTACAAACACAAAAAATAATCGCAATTTATAATTGTCATATTTAAAAACCAAATTTATTATTTAATGTTTCAGATCCGCAGGTGCATCGTTTCGTAAATGCGTCTTATCTAAGTGTTTCTTATCGCAAGTAGTCACGCAGGTGTTCATTAAAAATGCAGGTGTTCAATAAAAACGCAGGTGTTTCGTGCAGCTGTTTTAACTTATCCGCAGGTGTTCATTAAATATGCAGGTGTTCAATAAAAATGTAGGTGTTTCTTATATTTGCAGCTGCAACTAAAACGCAGGTGTACAATTAAACGCAGGTGTTCAATTAAATGCAGGTGTTCAATAAAAACGCAGGTGTTTCGTGCAGCTGTATTAACTTATCCGCAGGTGTTCATTAAAAACGAAGGTGTTTCTTATATTTGCAGCTGCAATTAAAACGCAGCTGTTCAATTAAACACAGGTGTTTCGTGCAGCTGTTGTGTTTTGTGCAGCTGTTTTAATTTATACGCAGGTGTTCAATGAAAATGCAGGTGTTTCCTATATTTGCAGCTGCAACTAAAACGCAGGTGTTCAATTAAACGCAGATGTTCAATAAAAACGCAGGTGTTCAATTAAACGCAGGTGTTTCTTATATTTGCAGCTGCAATTAAAACGCAGCTGTTCAATTAAACGCAGGTGTTTCGTGCACCTGTTTTAATTTATNGCAATTAAAACGCAGGTGTTCAATGAAAACACAGGTGTTTTTTGCAGCTGTTTTAATTTATACGCAGGTGTTCAATAAAAACGCAAGTGTTTCTTATATTTGCAGCTGCAACTAAAACGCAGGTGTTCAATTAAACGCAGATGTTCAATAAAAACGCAGGTGTTCATTAAAAACGCAGGTGTTTCTTATATTTGCAGCTGCAATTAAAACGCAGGTGTTCAATGAAAACACAGGTGTTTTTTGCAGCTGTTTTAATTTATACGCAGGTGTTCAATAAAAACGCAGGTGTTTCCTATATTTGCAGCTGCAATTAAAACGCAGCTGTTCAATTAAACGCAGGTGTTTCTTAAACAAAACCAATTGTGATAAGAAACGTGAATAATATAATAATTAATTTGATAAATTAAAAATGCAAACTTTTCTATCTTTATAAATAAATTCACCCGGCGCATCCACAATTCTTCCATAAAGGCAAAATCTTAATTAAATCTCCTTCTTATCAATTATACAGATGTGCTAAACTCATTGATTTTCATGACCACATAAGGATTTGATTAATGTTTTGGAAACAGTTTTGAGAAAAAGCACAAAAAAAACTTTACCAAAAATTATAAATTTCATTGAAAGTGCCGAGATTTAACTATCTTTTTTAAAAGAGATGCAGTAACAATAAAGTTTGGTAGTTGATGTTTTTCAGTTGTGTAAAGATACTTGTCTTGTGTTGTTGCATTGTTTCGTTGGTGTAATGCGATTAGGAAGGGGTATACTTACGTTCCCAGGTGCAGCCGTACAGTTCGACCCTCATGCAGACGGTGCGCGGATGCTCGCTGTAGGGGATGAAGCGTACTTTGCTGGCGATGAAGGGTAACTCCAGTCGCTGCTTCACCACCAGATACGTGTTGCTGTTGCCAGTAAGCACCTGAAAATAAAAATAGAAAACACGCGATTAGTTTGGGGAAAATTAATGTTTCATGCATCCCAGTTTCACGTACAGATATATATATATATATATCAGGGTTAAAAGGGGGGTAGGAGAGGGATGGATTTCGAACAAACTCGAGGCATTAATCATAAGGGATGTATGCCAGGGCGGACGGGTTTTTCGGTTTTGAAAGACGGCAGCATCGTTTGTCCACATCAACTGCGATCTCGTCATCTCTCTTCAAACGGATTAAAACTGTACACTTAATCCAGCGGAGATGACTAGCTCACGACGAATGCTACTATTACTACTTCTACTGCTGCTGCACCGATTACAGCCAAGTCGAGACAAGAGGAAAAATTGCAGACAAAAACAACAGTTTTCTTCATTACAAATTTGTATAGTAAAATTAATAATTATGAATTTAACAATAAATTAAAATATTAGTTAATTACGTATTGTTGTTAAACGCGTAAACTGATTTTTACGTACTTTCAAACATTATTTATAATAATTTATTATTAAATAAATTATGGACAAACCTATTAAACTGAATGGATGAAATATGCACAGCGAAATGTTTATTATTATTCGAAACGAACTGTGGAAATTTCCGAAATTGCAGTGAATTGTAGTTCGAAAGCTAATGAAGATTGAATAGTTTAGGCGGAGGCCAATCAGCGAATTAAACGTTTGCATTTTATGCGCAATTAAAGTCGACACAACACCCGAAAATAGCGAAAAAAAAACGAAATAAGCGGTGACAGCTGTCACGAAAGTAATTGTATTCTGTTGCATGTACATTTTCGTTCAATATTACTACCACATTATAAACACGTGTGTTTTTGCTTTTCGTAAATTCCGTTCAATTAGTCTTGCGCTCAATTAGTTTTGCGTTTGCGCAAATCCACAAAGATCAATCGAAGATGATTATCGAACGAATGATTATGCAGTTGGTGAACTTTGCCCGAATTACGATAATCGATGCCGAATATTATGAATGCACGCGCGACCCATTATTGCCAATTTGATCATTTCATTTGCGCAAACTGCTCCAATATATACTCCTTCCGAACAAACCCTTCCCGGCTTCCACCCCTCTCTCTCTCTCCCATATTATCCACATCCGGACGACGCGAAATGTTTCGAACAAAGACCGTTTGCGGTTTGCAAATAATATTGTTTGTGCACAAAACAAAATAATTGCGCAAACTGATGATAACATGTTTCAAATTTAATGTTATTATTACACATTAATAAATCGCTCTCATAAGTTCATACAGTTGCAATAATTTGTATATTTACAAGAGTTTTTAGTTATATCAACTTTTAATGCAATTTTTAATGTAATAAAGTACACGGATTGTGTTAATTTGTAGTATTACACTTTTGTTGCACGAGGATATTATGCATGTTTTTTTCTCTTGGAAACGTTAAAAAAAATTAAAATAAGAACAAGCACGTAACAAAAAGCACAATTTGCGTTACACTTTTTATTTGTTGCAGGCAATAAATTGGCTTTTAAAAGTTTCTTGCTTGTCTCAAAATTTGAAAAGTTTCGCGGCGGCGGCGGATGTCGGTTATTAAAACAAAACAAAAAGAAGCGAAACGAAACGAAATAAAAACAAAATACGTACGCAGCGGAAAGGGAAGCAAAGTTTGACTTTCCCGCCGAGATGTAAATAAATATCGCAGGAAGAGGATGTGACATAAAAATTTAATATTTGAATATGAGGATGAGTCTTTTAGAAGCGAAGATGTTTCGGCCAATAAAAAACGTAAATAAATATGTATTACAATGTGATGTAGTAATGCAGAGAGAGAGATGTCGTAAGAGTTCGCGACAGTAAAACAGAGATATATAATCATGATATTGGTGGAGGCGGGGGCGGTGTGTGTATTAAATGGAGTAGGTCATATGTGTAGGTGGCAGGAAGGAAAGAGAGAGAGAAAGAGAGGAGCGGAACGGGAGAGGTTGTAGTAGTAGCAGTAGGTGGAGGTGGAGGCGGCGGCGGAATGGAGCCATTTCATCATCGCCCGCCCCCGGATCCCCGTTGCACCCGAGGGAAATTTGCAGCATGATACTGCGGATAATGGCGTTCGATGTTATAGGTGCATTTGTTCATTGTCGGACGCGGGGGGTGGTAGAATAGGAGGATGAGGTGGTGGTGGTGGTAGTGGGTCGACTAGCTGCTGCTGTTGCGGCGGTGGAGGCGGCAGTTCGTTTATTGTATCGGGGGCGGGGGCGGTGGTGCGCGTGCTATATTTGCACTACTTCGGCAATGGAAACTACTAGTATGTAAAATGTATGCGCGCATGATGGATGATGACCGCCGCCTCCGCCGCCTCGTGAATTCCAATCAATCCCAATTCCATCAAATTGAATTACACGGATCGTTACCACGATTAATATTTTGATTGCCGCAAAGATAGCGCCACTAATCACGCGGCCATTTTTAAACGCAGCTTTTGTTTTCAATTCAACGCAAAAAAAAACAATTGAATTATCCAATAGTTGTAAAAGTAATTCAACTGAATAGCAATGGAAACTTTAGTTTCTTTAAGAATTAGTACAATTCAAGATTTAGTTACTTAATTGTTTCATGGTTACGTTGCAAACATGATTATGTAAGAAACGTCAAGGAAACGTCAAATTAAAACAATGAATATTTCATGAAAATTAATGAATTATCGTGATTAAAATTTTATAATTTGTTTTGTTTTTTATAATTTAAGATTTGGTTACTTAATTGTTTTATAGTTACTTTTTATTATTTGCGTTGCAATCTTGGAATAACTTCATGAAAAGTCAAGGAAACGTCAAATTAAAACAATGAATATTTTTCACTTAATACAAAATTCCTACAATAATATTCGAGTTGAAAATTAAAAAAAAAAACGCTTGAAATTCATGAAAATGAATGAAATAATTTATCATGATTAAAATTTTTTAATTTAAGATTTGGTTACTTAATTGTTTCATAGTTTCTACCTTATATTATTTGCGTTGCAATCTTGGAATAACTTCATGAAAAGTCAAGGAAACGTAAAATTAAAACAATTATTATTTCTCATTTAATATCAAATTCCAACAATAATATTCGAGTTGAAAATTTAAAAAAAACCTTGAAATTCATGAAAATGAATGAATTATCGTGATTAACATTTTATAATTTGTTTTATTTATATAATATAAGATTTGGTTACTTAATTGTTTCATAGTTACCTTTTATTATTTGCGTTACAATCATGGAATAACTTGATGACAAGTCAAGGAAACGTAAAATTAAAACAATTATTATTTCTCACTTTATACAAAATTCCTACAATAATATTCGAGTTGAAAATTAAAAAAAAACGCTTGAAATTCATGAAAATGAATGAAATAATTTATTATTATTAAAATTTTGTAATTTGTTTTGTTTTTTATATAATTTAAGATTTAGTTACTTAATTGTTTCATAGTTACTTTTTATTATTTGCGTTGCAATCTTGGAATAACTTCATGAAAAGTCAAGGAAACGTCAAATTAAAACAATTAATATTTCTCATTTAATACAAAATTCCTACAATAATATTCGAGTTGAAAATTTAAAAAAACGCTTGAAATTCATGAAAATGAATGAAATAATTTATCGTGATTAAAATTTTATAATTTAAGATTTTGTTACTTAATTGTTTCATAGTTACTTTTTATTATTTGCTTTGCAATCATGGAATAACTTGATGAAAAGTCAAGGAAACGTCAAATTTAAAACTATTTTTTTCTCACACATTGCGTAATGTTATTTGATTCGTAACCGTTTTCGTTTGGAATACAGACGAAATCCGGCGAACGTCTCGCGAATTAATTAAAAGTTGAAAACCGCGACAGTTGCGAAACGGATTTATGACAGTTTACAAGAACGTATCAATGCGTACAAAATTTGTTTCGCAACTTTTTAATCAACTTTCCACCAATTACAACAACAACAAAAAAATCATCTCGGAGAATTTTGATGTTTCGTTGCTGTGGATACGGAAAAGATATGCAAAATGCAATTTTACAACACGTAATCGGTGTGAGATTGGTTGCGGTTTTGCAACTCTACTAGAGTAATGCGGTTACGACGACAATTAGAAGCCGCGAAAACCGAGCACTTTATTACGATTTATTATATGCGCGTCCCGAAGTTTTCCGCGGGATTTTCAAAACTTTAATTACGATCTACGACGCTTTTAAAAGCTTTAAGTAGACACATATAAACAAAGTTTCGTACATCGACTAACAAAAAAAATTAAATTAGTAGTTTGTACGCACCTTTTCGCCTCGTGCATCCTTATATACGACCCATTTGCTCAACGTCGGTCTCCAGTATTCCACTAAGAATGCTTCCGCGTATTCCTGTCCTTGTCCGTTCCCGAATCTTCCCTGCGTCTCCGTCCACGTGATCAGGTGATTCCTCTGCAGATCGACTTCGAGGAATTCGCGAACTTCGCTGCTGATCTGTGCTTTCGGACACCAAGCACCGCCGTTCTTCTCCTGTCGTATCCTGCAAGCAAAAGGATACAAAAATAAATAGGGACATTTCTCCTTCGTTCCGCTTCCATCATCATCGGGAAGCCCGAAAATCGCTCAGCCGAAAGTAATTACTTTCCGGCTACGGTAACGGCAACGGCAATGATGTATTGATACAATTACGTAGAAAGCTGCATTTAATGACACGTAACGCATCACTCATTGCGATTTGATTGAATTTTGTCCCTCTTTTACAACCGAAAACGCTGCTACCACCGCCGCCGCCCCCAAATTTATCTCTTTCTCCCTCTATCGTTCACACACACACTTCATCTCTCACTCACTCGCATCCATTCATTCTCTGTATATGTGTGTGTCCGTAATCCCAGCGAATTTCACTAAATGCTCGATGGAAGGTAAAACATCGAAGCCCGGGATAATCAATCAGCCACCTAACAAAGCAATCAGCCGAACATGCAACAAAACCCATCAAAAAACCTTATTGTTGCCATGGTTTATTGTAATTGCTATGGCAATATGTTCTTTAACCTGTAATTTGAAGTTTCCATAATGTTTTATAATAAGTCCGTTTTTAATTAATTAATTATATTTGTTAATTATGTTGAAATGTAAAATTACAGGATTTATCATTACAAAATGTTTGAAAAGTAAATTTCTGTTATTATCATTGCAAAAAAGTAGATTAGATTATTAAAATTTATGAGTGAAATGTGAAGATTATAAGAAAATGGAAATAATTGTGTAACATTCGAGATGTAGGTGAGAAATGTAATTTATTTTGAGAGGATAGTTGAGAATCCAATTGGGAGTATCAACAAATTGGTGTGTTCAATTTTTGTTTCAATTTCCTTTTATGCCGCCCCCCGTACGTAACAATAAAAGTAGTGGTTGCCACGTTCGATCTTCGATGGATTCAATTTGGTCCACATTGTTGCGGGTTTATCGATGGAAATGGGGGTTGTTACAGGTAGTGTATACTGTGTTGGGGTGGTTTGAGTACGATCTACAAAGTGCGTCGAGCGGGCGGTGGCAGCAGCAGGATAATTATATATGATCCAGGCAGCAGCAGCAGCAGACTGAGCAACCAACCAACCAACCACCCTCACATCATAATCAGTGCCCGGTTTACGGACCGAAATTACGTTGCAATCGCCCTAATCGAATTGGGTATTTACTAGATCATTAGATCAATCATGGCAAGCTGTGGGCCGAGTGTCAAGGATTCACCGCCGCCCCCGTTTCTCCTTCCTAACAGCAGCAGCAGCAGCCTCAGCCTGTTGCTCCCTCTTACATAATACACACACACACACATAGCGGAATTGGAGAAGGCGGCGGCAGCAGCGCCCTTAATTATTAAATAATTCGATAATCGCTAATTAACTAAACCAATTAAAATTGTATAACGCTAATTAGCCGAGCCGAGCGGATTCTAGCGGGGTTTGTTTTGTTTTGTTTTTTTTTAGGAGGTCATGGGCGTAACGCGCCGGGATTTATCGATTTGCATCCATATTCGCGTACGCTACGCTTCATCGGTGTCCTTCATCTCCTTCTCGTCCTGCATACACGTACGTACGCGCTGTTGGTTGCGGATCCGGGGGGTTGGTTGGCGCGCACGCAACCCTACGTACACGTGTGTGTGTGTACGAATATCGAATCAATTGAAAAGGGCCGCAGGGTGCGCAGGCCACGGCCGCACTCATAATGGATTCATTATCAAATTAGTCGCGACCAGCGTGTCCCATTAGCTGGGACATCCCTTCAAACCTTCTTTATATTCTACAATTTTCACACAACACAACACATCAAAATTTTGTATTTATAAAACAAAAATTACTTCTAAGCAACAACAATTGCCTACATAATTAATTACAAAACATTATTAACATCTCAAATATTCACAACAAACTTTGTTTTTATTGGAATTATTATTATTAAATCTTTCTATATTTGATCTAATATTTTATATAAGTTTGAGCAATAGAAAATTGTGTTTGAACTAAAAAAAAGTTTTCACACAACCATCAAAATTTTGTATTTATAAAACAAAATTTACTTCAAAGCAACAACAATTGCCTACATAATTAATTACAAAACATTATTAACATCTCAAATATTCACAACAAACTTTT